AAAGGGGCCCTAAGGAGCATGGACAAGGGGTAGCATTTCAAGAGAAGCAGTGCTCCCAATCTCAGATAGGCGGTGAGGGTCCAAGTACAATGGCAGGTCTGGTCTTTTCACTGTTGTTAATTGTTGGGCAGAAAGAACCCAATGAAGCTGTCAGTGTGACGGCCAATGTTTCTAAGGAGTGTTGGCAAACATCTTAAGAAAATAGAAGGAAAACACTAATAGCTCAGAAAAATGTACAAGGGAAAGTGAATAAAGGCTAGGAAATCAAGAGAGTGTGTGGCTGTGAAGTCACACTTCTAGCATCAGGTTTTCAGAGGATATGAGTAGGGAAGGGAGGCAGGGTACTACGACCTTGTCTCACAATTTGCTCCTAGACCTGAAAGGGAAGTGTGTTTGGCTAGGACAGGATGAAGGCTCCTCACACACATTCCTGCCTCACTGCCAACCCTGCAGCCGGGGGACACTCTGCCATTTAGGACACCCCCTAATTTCCAGGAGATGGAGCCGTGAACTGCAGAGTCAGGAGAAGAACTGCAGAGCGGAAAGGCTGCCTCCCGATAAAAATGAAGAGTGCCAATTTGTGTCAAACTTGTTCAAGAAATGAGTAAGTTCAAGGCTGTCTGAGGCAAGAGAGCTCCGTCTCTGAATTAGTATCTGGCTGTGAGCAGGGAATTTTTTTCCTTTCATGTCCTGTGGTAATAAGAGAGTCTTTCTTCTTCTTCTTCTCTTAGAATGGGATGCCATGCAGAAATCGCCTGTTGCAGTCCCTCACATTACTTACTGGAGCAGTGAGACAAAGGGGTCAGCTGGTGTGTGCACCGGCCCGCTGTGCGTTAGCTTACAGCCTGACAGTGGGGACACCCCGCCTGTGGTTCACAGGCACCAAAGGGAAGGAGAGCCCACCAGCGTAGACCCCGTCTCTCCTAACAGACTCTGTTCCTTGCTGCTCCGTCTCTGGGTCACCCCCTTCAGATGCTTGGGGATCACTGTCAAGCCCTACTCTATCACCAGCCACAGTCTGGGTGATTCAGCTTCCTAAATGTCCATCTAATCGAGTACCCCACCTTCACCAGAGTCTCTGAGTGACAGCTCATCTTCTCTCATGGCTGGAGTCCTTTGTGGGGTCCTCCTCAAGCCCCAAAGTGACCACTGAGCACATAAGCCTCCTCCTCTTCTTCCAAGGCCTCTATCAAGATGGGAGAGAGAACCTCATGTCACTGTCCCCTCCTCCTCTCTCCAGGACCTCTGTCAGGATGGGACAAAGGACCTCATGTCACTGTCTCCTCCTCTGCTCTCTGAGACCTTGATCAGGATGGGACAGAGTACCTCATGTCACCGCCCCTCCTCCTCTTCCTCTAGGACCTCTCAGAAATAGGACAGCCAGGCCATACTTCATAGTGCCGTGCTCTCCAATGATGTTACCCCATGCACTTTCTAGATAGTGGAAAGGCTAGTGGTGGGAAAGAACCACAGAGTTCCCTCCATCCTAGAGGGCGGAATTGTTCAAGGGTCCCCAGCTCACAGACATCATTGGTCAAATACCAAGAAGCTAACTGTTCTAATGGCAGAAGGTGAGCTCTGCCCCTCACTGCTCAGGTTCATCCAGAGTACTGGGTCAACCTTAGTTGTTCCCTTCAAGGGGACACTGACAAGGATAGGGCCCCTGTATCTGAGCAAAGTTTTCTGCTCCTGGAAAGGAGTGGGGGGATGTCCTCAGAGAAAGCAGCCTTTCCTTGTATGTGTTCTTGACGTGAGAATCACATCCATAAGGCTTTGATCTTTCTAACTCTCCTTTGAGATGCAAGTAGGAAAATCATTCAATTCTCAAGTCAGAAGGCTGTGATTCTCCTTAAAGTTCATCAGGCCAAACTTACTGCCATAGAGTCAATTCGGACTCATAGCAACCCCCTCTGGGTTCCCAAGGCTATAAATCTTGACAGAAGTAGACTGCCTCATCTTTCTTCCATGGAGAAGCTGGTGGGTTCAAACCACCAACCTTTTGGTTAGTAGCTAAATCCCTTAACCACTACACCACCAGAAACCAAAATAAAAATTAAGTTGTGTCCCTCCAAATATGAGTTAGAACCCTAACCCCATATCTGTGGATGTGGTCCCATTGGGGGACAGGGTTTTCCTTGTTATGTTCATGAGGCCCGATCAGTGAAGGGTGAGTCTCAAACCTGGTGGCTTTGAGATAAAAACAAGCAGACCAGACACGGTGAAGCCAGCAGGAATGGGGGCAGAGAGATACTGCGTGGAGATGGTCAAGGGACGCCAAGGCCGCTGGAGAAGCTGGCACAAGGATTTTCTCCCAGAGTTCCCTAGAAGTGGTGCCCTGATTTGAACGATTAGCCTCCTGATCTGTGAGAAAATAAGCTTATCCTCTTTAAAACCACCTACCTGTGGTATTTGTTACAGCAGCATAAGAAACCAGGAAAAGTGGCCTTTCATCCAGTTCTCAGAGTTGATAGTTCAGGTAAGATTAACATCACGGTTGTACACAAGGACCCGAGGGGGCTTACAAGTTCCACTGTCAGTGGGGTCTTGGACAAAGCTCACTGAGCTCTTGCCATGGGAGAAGATTTGGGGATGGCACCCCATCCGACCATCTACACGCCGTCCTCACCATGCATGTGTTCTGCTAGGTCTTCCTTGTGCGCTATCTCACGCCTGCTGTCCCAATGGTCTCGTCTCTGCTTGGATCCACTTGCCTAAGAACCATTTGGGGCTCCCCTTCTAGCTGACAATTCTATTTCTACTTCAGACCTATGCAATCAGAACCTCCAGGGGAACCAAAGTGTTTACATAAAACCAACACCCCATAAACAGTCCTGACACACAGCCAGAGCTAAGAACCACTGGCAGGCACACCAGTGTTCACCCTAGCCAAAAGGTGCCTGGAGCCTATACGTCCATCACGGTTGCGTGGGTACAAAAGGCAGTCACCCACACAGCAGGACACTACTCAGTCATGAGGAGAAAGGAAGTCCTGATGCAGGACGTAACACGGATGAACCTTGTGGCAGTTAAGATTATTGTCAACATGGCTGGGTCAGGTTTTGAATGGCTGGACAGCTGGATGGAGTTATGCCCCATGATGAGACTGGTAATCAGCTCCATGGTGGAATCTACTTGAGCAGCTGAGTAGCTGCCTTGGGGATGTGGTCTGCTTCCCATATATAAGCTGAAGTTTTGAGAAAGGTCTCCAGTTCTTTGGTATGCTTGGATTGAGCATGTTGCTGTGTCTTCATTCAGCAGCCTGCCAGGTTGTCTGCTGGTCTTAGGACTGTTTTTGGACTTGAACTAGTGGCCTGCCATGTTACTTGATAATCTTTGGACTGTTCCATTTGACTTGTCAACCTTGGGTTTGTCAGCCTCAGCAGCCAGCAGCTGCCTGAGTGAAGAGAAGCCTCCAGCTCCAGGGGGCCAGGAGCAAGAGCCAGAGCTGAAGCCCATGATCAAGGGGCTTTCCCCTAGCTCCTGGAGCTGGCACTTTGAACTCAGACTTCTAGCCTCCTAAACCGTGGAGAATAAATCCCTGTTTGTTAAAGCCATCCACTTGTGGAGTGTCTGTTAGAGCAGCACTAGAGAACTAAGATAAACCCTGAATGGACCCCACTCCATCATAGGGAGATGAGTCCCGATGCAGGCCACAACCCAGACGGACCCGAGAGACATCACACTGAGTACGGCACGTCATCAGAAAAGGATACAAGTGTGTGATCCCACTTACAGAAAATAATAGGCTGGGCCATCGTCTGTGGAGACCAAAGTGTACTAGTGGTGGCCCAGGTGAGTGAGAGCAGCAGTTGTGAAGGGGACTCACTGCTAGGAGCCACCAAGTTCCCACCAACGGTCATGGGAAATCTGAACACAGACAATGATAACGGTTGAACAACAGAAACACAGCTAATGTCACTGAACTGCACACAGGACGGATATTGAAAGGTAGGTGATTTGCTGCACAAATTTACAATAACAAAGAAAACACACAATGTTGGCCTCAGATTTAAGTTGGAATCTCGCTCGCATGCCATGAGCAAGCTACTTAACTCTCTGAGCCTGAAAATGACAGGAATGCCCCATCGCTCCTGGGCCACCTTCATGAAGGATAACATGCCATGGCCCACATGGGTGGCCTTCCTCACTTCTCTGTCATGCCAGAGGCCCATTTCACAGACAAAGGCACTGAGCTTATTGAGAAGAACTGGCAGCAAGGTGCCCAAGGTGATACACCTGTGCTTCATGGGCCAGCATGTGAACTAGGCAGCCCCACACGCAGGAAAGCACTCAAGGACAGCAGTGGCCACAGCCACCTCCTTTCCTCAGTGCCCTCATCACCATGCACCTCGGCAGGCCAGGCGATGGTGGAGCCTGTAAGCTTTACACCAGCTCCAGGCTGGCGGATGGGGGGCATTGCCAAGTGTCTGAGGGAAATCTGCCCTTGCCTTAGAAGCTGCACACTGTCCCGCTGCTGTGGGGTCTGCAGGAACCCAGACCACATTCCACAGCTCTGAAGTCAACACAGAAGTCAAGGAAACCATCCTGGACACGTTTCCTGAGCACTGCTGGTGCCCTCTGCTCTTGCAGGGTGGGATGTCCATGACAGGCAGCCTGCTCTGGGGCCATGGGGAGCACCAGGCGGTCCTGGCTTCCTCTCACAGGCAGTGGGGACCCACGTCAGGTCTTCTGGATGGCCCAGCCAGGCCACCTGTGGTGGCCATGCCACACCACACGTCTCTGTTACCCAGCACTTCTACCTTGAAGTCTACTTTCTGTTTTCCCTTCCCATTGACTGTTCTTACACCGACCACTCACCGGCCATGGCAGAAGGGAGACACCGCAAACAGCATGAGGAGTTCTCCTGGCTTCAGAAACACTGCCCACCGTTCTCTCTGCCACCAGCCCAGCAGTGGCTACACTGTGGCCTGTGGTGCCAGGGACACAGCATGGCAAAGCCACTGTCATGCTATACACACGGGACCCCCAGAAGCACTTACCTGTCATGTTACAGTAGACTTTCAGGGGTGCCAGGGGGCCGCTGCCATCAGGGTCGATCCAGTAGTAGTTGGAGGTCTGACCCAGGTGCTTGTAGGCCTCACAGGACGGCTCGTAGATGGCTGAAAAGAAAGGCCCATGTAAGCCTGGCCCCGAGAAGGCTCCCTAGGACACTGACCAGCCAAGGGCCAGTGAGCTAGCACTGGGGGACGCCTGCATAAGGACTGATGCCTGACTCGGTTCCGATTCTGGGAGCATTTCTGAACCAACAAAGACACTAAATTGGTGTGGCTTTAACACGGGATGAGACTAAAACAGCCAACACCTGGTTCAGAAATAGTGTCTGGCTGTGGGGATTCATGCTCTGAAAAATACTTGATACTGATTTTTCGGGTATTTTAGGGGCTTCATGTTGACGTCATCACTGTTGTCTGCTTTGATGGGTCATCAGCCAAATTAAGAGACAAAAGAGCACCTCTCTCTGTCTCTCTGCCTTTCTCTCTCTCTCCCTTTCTCTCCGTCTCACACACACACACACACACACACGCACACACACACTTTCCTCTTTCTGCACAGTAGGTATAAATCTGCCTCCCACGGCATGCCAGTTCTAGTCCTCCTTTGGGGAAAGCACCCTGGCTCCTTGTATTTCTGGCAGGAGCTTGAATTGTACCGGGTCTTGGTCACACTGAAAGCCAGCACCCATGCATTCAATCACAGATCCCTTCTTGTTTCCCGTCCCGGTTCCACATTTGTCTTGCCCACCTGCACCTGCTTCCAGACACACACAAACTTCCAGATCACTCTGTGGTGGGAACATCATCCTCCTGAGAAACCGGCCCTAACTCCTCACCAGCACCAAGCTGATGTTGAGGAAAGCTCTTGGCAAAGCTAAGGAATCTTTTTGGTACCTGTATGTGTGTGTTGTGAATCTTTCTGGTACGAGCATGTGTGTGCCTGTGAACATGAGCTGTGGGTTGCTGGGGTTGCTGTGGCCTCACTCCTGGGCATGTGTCACTGACAAGGCTGGTGTCTGACACCAGAACCTCCCTTTCCTGCTCCCTCCACTGAGTTCTCTGGGCCACTTGGGCTCTCAGATGTCCTCACTCAGAGAAGGGCTTCCATTCCAGCTAATTTCAAAATAGCAACACTGACCCAAAACCATTCCAAGGTTCTCTGATTTATTTTAGCCCCTTCAGCCCCGCCCCACTGCAGAGTCACTGAGCACATAGGATAGGCTGGCACCAGGCTGACCAACCAGCTTCCACTGACTCGATTCCTACTCCTGGCAGCCCCATGTGTGTCAGAGCAGAACTGAGGCCCAGAGGGTTTTCAGTGTCTGACTTTTCAGAAGTAGATGACCAGGTCTTCCAACATTCCTCGGAGTGGACTCGAACCTCCAACCCTCCTGTTAGTAGCCGAGTGCATCAACTGTTTGCACCACCAGAGCACTGGGTTAGGCCCTGCAAATCTAGCTGTGAACAAGAGACTTAAAGCACTTGGGAGAAGGGTGTGCTCACTCATCACAGTTGTATAAAGTGACAGTGGAAGGGAGGAGACATAGTAGGTGTATCACAGGAAGGGGTGTTACCATAGAGGGGCGTCTGTACAGTAGGTGTATTATAGGAAGGGGTGTTACCATGGGGGGGTACACACAGTAGGTGTATCACAGGAAGGGGTGTTACCATGGGGGAGTACACACAGTAGGTGTATTATAGGAAGGGGTGTTACCATGGGGGTACACACAGTAGGTGTATTACAGGAAGGGGTGTTACCGTGGAGGGGGGTACACACAGTAGGTGTACTACAGGAAGGATTACACTGGAGGGGGAGTACGCACAGTAGGTGTATTACATGAATGGGTGTTAAGGTGGAGAGGGAGTACACACAGGAGGTGTATTACAGGAAGGGGTGTTACCGTGGAGGGAGGTACACACAGTAGGTGTACTACAGGAAGGATTACACTGGAGGGGAAGTCTGCACAGTAGGTATATTACAGGAAGGGGTGTTAGGGTGGAGGGGGAGTATGTACAGTAGGTGTATTACAAGAAGGGGTGTTACCGTGGAGGGGGAGTATGTACAGTAGGTGTATTACAGGAAGGGGTGTTAGGGTGGAGGGGGAGTACACACAGTAGGTGTACTACAGGAAGGATTACACTGGAGGGGGAGTACACACAGTAGGTGTATTACAGGAAGGGGTGTTAAGGTGGAGGGGGAGTACACACAGTAGGTATACAGGAAGGGTTACACTAGAGGGAAAGTACACACAGTAGGTAGGTGTACTACAGGAAGGGTTACACCAGAGGGGGAATACGCATAGTAGGTGTACTACAGGAGTGTTACAACAGAAGGGGCAGGTCCACTCCACCCTACAGAGTCTCTCGTGACACAGTGGGCTATAGGTACCACTGTATTGATTATAGATGATTGGGATCTGATTTAATGGAATTTCATACAGGAATAGTAAGCTCTTAACAAGATTATGAAGAATTTTGGAGGCATGTGTTCAGAATGTGTTATCTTTCCTACTCTGTGGTATCTAACGTGGACAATACTTGAGAAAAGCTGTCTGAACTGAACTGACCAATTTTGACTTGAGGCCACGTGAGCTGGCTAGTAGGAGAAGCATTGGCACATGGAAGCCTGGGTGGCTGAGCTTGAGTTCAGGAAGCTACCCCTTTCCTCACTCAGCATGTGGGCATTTTACCAGGTGGGAAGGGCAGAGGTTCAACCATGCCAGGCACCTCAGAAGAAAGGCCTGGCACTCTGTCCCTAACACTCAGCCCTGAAAGGCCCTGAGAAGCAGGGCCCTCCTCAGCCATGTAGGGGCGCCGTGAGTGGGAACCGGCCACAGACCCTCCCCGGGCGGGTGACACCCCACAGCACAGCTTGTGAGTGAGGGTGTGGTCACAGACCCTCCCTGGGTGAGTGAATGACACACAGCCTGTGAGTGAGGGTGTGGCCAGCAAGGGGACAGTGTCTTTTTCTTCAAAGTGTAGCAATTCAGTCTTTAACACGCTACCGGCTGGCCTTGCCTCCTGTACTTCAGTACCACCTGAGCACAGTGACAATCACCGAGTGACCTCCCTAAAACCAGGTCTGCCTCCTGCTCCCCGTGCCTGTGATGAGCTGGCGCAGTGCAGCTGTAACAAGGTCCCCAGCCAGGACTATGTCCCCAAATGCCGTGCTGCTCCCATCCTGAGGACAAGCTAACTAGGAAGTGTGTGGACAAACAGATGCCAAAAGGCAAAGCAGTGACGTGTGAGAGAAAGCAAGCTGAGGCTGCCCCGGCACTCCAGCCAACAGTACGGGGGAATGGATGCAAAACTGTAAGTGCAAACGGCACCAACAAGAAACGGCTCCACAAACTGGAAGGAAACACACCAACACACCTTTGAGTGAGGGTGTGGTTACAGGCCCTCCCCCGGCGAGTGAGTGACAGCCCGGGGTTGGGAAGCTGTCGGCAAGTAAAACACCCACTTTCCTGTGGTCTCCGCCTGATAAAGTGCGTATGTTACCTTATCATTAAAGACACACTTTCCAAATGTGCCTCTGGGTCAGCGGCACCGAGGGAGAGGTGAGGGCAGCTGTGATGGGGTCCTGTCATCCGAATCATGTTGGAGCGACGGTGGTTCAAATCCCTGTTCTGTCCTTTACTCACGGGGAATCCTACCTTTAACTTTTCACCTGTAAAATGAAGCACTGAGCATATTTAAATCAAAGTGGCATTTAAAACTACGCACAGAGGGAGCTCGCTGCAGTATTGGCGCCACGTGCTTCCCCGGCTGCCTCCTGCTTGGTGGAGTCCCTGCTGGCCTCGTGACCAGGTCCTTCAGGACTGGGAGGTGATGACAGAAGGTGAGGGGCTGATGCAGGGGGGACTTCAGCCCGAGAAAGCCCTGCATCACCATTTTCCATGAAGTGTGCTGGTTGACCGCGAAGAACAGAAAGGCGATTGGGCTGGCAGGAAAGCCAACAGACTGGCAAAGCCCATCAGTTTATTGGGGAGGTCGTTTCTCGTTCTGGCCCCCATACCCCAATACAAGGTGTCATATAATTCTCCCTACTCACAGGTGCATCTCAGCTGCTAGCAGTAACACCCCTGACCCCAACATGGTTTCACGGGATTAGGGATAGACCCCAGAAGGTCCTACCTGCCCTATTCCTCCTCTCTACCCAGGAGTCTGTGAGTTTGTGCTGGGAGCGTGGAGTGTGGGTGTGGCCTGTTGCTGCAGGGAGGAGTTACCACAAACAGCACACCCTCATGACTGTATAGCCGAGGCGGTCAGACGTCCCACGGGGGTCTCACTGGGCCAGAATCCAGGGCCTCCCTTCCTTTTCCACCTTCTGGGTTCTCAGGTCTTGCCTCCCTCCACCTCCAAAGCCTTCCCCTAAGTCTTGCTCATGCCACACGTCTGATTTTTGCCACCATGACTTCTTGGCCTCTTTGGAAGACCCATGGGATTAGATTGGACCCACGTGGACACTCCTGGATGGTCTCCCCTCTCCAGATCTCCAACCTCATCACATCTGCACGGTCTCTGTCATGTAAAGTAACAGTCACAGGTTCTGGGGATTCGGACACAGTCATCTCTGGGGGGTCATTATTCTGCCCACCAAAACCAAAAGCCACACCCACTGCCGGCAAGGTGATTCTGACGTAGGGCACCCCGGGGACACAGCAGAGCTGGGTTTCCAAGGCTGTCTGTCAATCTTCACGGAAGCAGACTGCCTCACCTTTCTCTTGCAGAGCGGCTGGTGAGTTCGAATCACTGGTCTTTTGGTTGGCAGCTGAGCGCTTTAACCGCAGCCCCAGCAGAGCCCCTGTTCAGCCCAACACAGCTCTGTGCGGAGAGCATGTCGGGCTATGCGATGAACAGGCTCTATTACACACTGGCTCAGCTTCTCAGAGCCACTTCAACAAATGAGCACAGAGCAGGTGGCTCCAAACAGCAGGCTGCATCTCTTCCGGGGCCGGAGGCCGTCCATCCTAAACCGAGGTGTGGCCAGGGCTCTAGGGGAGACGCTGGTCCATTGCCTCCCCTCCTCGCGGCTGCTGGCCGTCGCTGGCTTTCCCTGGCTCAGGGGCAGCTCTCCCATCCCTGCTGGTGCCCTGACATGG